TATATATATATATGTATTTGATAAAATTTAAGTTCTTGATAAGTTTCCACCACACACAACTTATCAGCAAGCTGCATGGCCATCCCAAGGTGCTCGTATGGCCACGCTGCCAACTTGCATAGAAATGCCACAATAGAAGCATCCCATATAGCTGACAAATTTTTTTAATCTAATTCCTACATGTCATCTAGCCGACTATAATTATTGTATCTTACCGTATAAGATTTATTAAACATTTTGTCCGATCGCATTAAAATAAGCTTGAAGTGGCAGCTTTTCGCAAAGGCCCAATTGCAACTTGTGAGCTTCTGATTCCAATCATTTATGACCAAGCTTTCAATCATGCATGCTATTTTTTTATGGTCTTTCCTGTGTGTGTTTTTTTTTAAGTTTTATCTTATGAATCAACCCCACATAATTAAAAATAAATTAAGTTTTTACAATATATTAAAAATAAATTAAGTTTGATGTACTTTTTAAAAATATATTTCACAGTATGTTTTAAAAATACCTCTAAATAAGCCCTGTAAAAATCTGTTTTTTAACACTATCAAAATCTTTTTTTTTTTTTTTTAACAGTGCCATCTATAAATAGTTTTGTAGCAATATAGAAAAATCTCTTCTCTTTCTCTCTCACCAAGTCTGTTTGTCAGTAGATTTCAATGCATTTCATAGATTCATTTTGTTTCCAAAGTCCCAAAAGTTTCAAAATTACATGTAGGCACTTGTCATTATAAACTAAAATACAAAGGCCCACACCATTATGGCCTCTGAAATACAAGACAAAAAGCATCAGCCACTACCTACCAAACCTACTGGAATTTGGGGAGCAGAGAAGGAAGAAAAGAGTGATCACAAAGGTGGAAGCAAGCCATTGAAGCCAAAAACCAAGCTCACATTGACATCACTGTCTCTGCTTATCACTGCTCTGTCCTTCAACTCTCTGCATCACTAGTCACAAAAACATGGACCATGCAACGCTATACCGTACTGCCCCATGTACAGTAAGAAGAAAGGGAACAAAAAGAACTGTATGCTTGGAGCGAGCTAAACGTGGTTCATATTGAACTACTAAGTTAACGTAAGAGAATAAAAACCAGATTTTGCTACTGGTTTTTTATACTGGAGGTCTTCTTCCAGCTATCTGCAATGTCAAGAGCCACCTTCTGTGCGTCGATGCCGGCGCCGAGGAGTCCTCGGCCTGTAAATCCAACGCAGTAGAGACCATTCTCACCTTTCCAGCCGTTGGGGAATGGCAACTTGGGTTTGCCGTCAGCTGAGAAGAAATCACAGTCCTGCAGAGTGCATTAGTTTGAATTTAATGCCTTGGGTTTTCTTGTGACTGAGAGAAAAAATGACTTTTTTATTTAAAAGATTGGATTTTTAAGTGTTTAGGTGGAGAGAATATTTGTTTACGTGGAGGGAATATTATGCGGTCTCTCTAATATTTTTAGATTTAGGTGAAAAAGTGTATCTTTTTGGAAAAAGATATCTTTAAAAGAAATAGAGCTTTCAAGTATTAATCTTTCAAAATATTGAATATAATATTTTAATTGTCCAGAATTTTCATTGAAATCTTAATATGAGTCTGTTTGGAGCAGTTGTAACTTATTTAATAATCTGCTGATAAACAGACTGAAAATAATCTGCAAATAAGCAAGGTTCGGTTGTTATTAAATTTTTTTATTTTTTTTAGAAAAGTCAGAACGCTGCCAGAAAACTGTCACCGGTGTGGTGTAAAAATGCTTCTTTCAACATTTTTAAAATGAATAAGCTGTCAAAATGCAGTTTACCCAAACAGTCTAAATGCATTTTGAAAACGTCATCCCACCAAATAAACTGCCCAAACGGACCCTAAATTTAAGAGCATGATTGAAATAAAAAAATAATTAAAATAATATATTTAAAATTTAGAGGATTAAAATGTTATACTTTATATATTTTGAGTAGTTGATATCTACAGATAATAAAAAAAATTATTTTTATAAAAAAAACTTTTGAAATAGATCCATATGACAGCTTATTCCCTGAGAAGTATTTGATGTGTGTGTGCGAGATAGAGAGCGTGTATTTGCCTTGAGCCAGAGAGGGACGTTGCTTCTGTAACCGGTAGCAAAAATGACAGAGTCGAATGCCATCTCTCTTCCATCAGCAAACTTGGCCCCATCCCTCGTTAGGGATTCCACTTCTGATACTACCTGCCATAGTCAGCATGGGGAAGAGAGATCCTGTGATCAGTAAATAGAATGGCCCATAACTTGTTTAGAGAGAGAAAGGGAGACTCGAAGTAGTTTCTAGTTGTTTAAAAGATGTGCCTTGAGTCACTAATCACATAAAAATGATATCTTTGAAAGTTACAGTAGAAAGCACGAGAAACCAAGGTTTTGGGAAGAGCACAGTACAGAGTGAGGAAAACGAAGATGAAATGACATATTGTAATCTTTAAATACATCAAGTTTGGGATTTGTGCATTTCATTACTGTTATTTGAAACATCATTGTCATAAAAATGACTCTTTTAAAAGTAAAATTGATAAAGCTACCTTAGTCCTTCCTTTTTTAATCAGCTTAAAGGCTCCAACATCCAAAACTGGAGTTTTTCCAGTAGAATTCTTGAGCTCAAGAGGTCCTTTCATAGGCCTTTTCAATCCATATTTTTCTGTATCTCCAATGGCCATTCTGGCCAATAATAGTAGGATTCTGTCCACTAATCTCACTGGAAGCAACTTCAATAGCTTCATTGCCAGCCCAAAAGTAGAAATTCCAAGCAAATCTCTTGGCAGCACATGTACCTGCTTAATACCATTTTCATGTCATCAACAACAAGAACTCAACCAAAATCAATTAAAACCGTAATAAAACTTTTAAATATAGTACAAATTAAGGTACCAAGCTTTTATTGATTAATCTGCCAAGTTTGTGCTGTTTTGTACAAAAAAAAATTGTCGAAGTTTATTGTAAAGATTGCAGTATGTGTACAACGCCAGTTATAAAATCCAGCACTAGCCATTTTCTTAAAACCCATTTTAATGATTTCGATGCTCTTCTTCTGATCTTTACTTCAATTTTAAATATATCAGAAGATTATAATGTCATAAAACCTTTGATTCATGTATCAAAAGTTCTTCAAGCAGTAAATCAAACTATAATTGTCAGAGTAAGAACAGAGGAAAGAAATAAAACTGAAGCTTTCAAACAGAAAGAAAGACTCAAAAGCACTTACCCCACTCCTAACTGATAAGAATGGCACTGCTCCAAACTCGCACAAATCCAAACACATTTCCATTCCAGAATTCCCACATCCAACAACTAACACCCTTTTCCCTTTACAATCCACACCATTCCTATACTCGCTCGAATGCAAAACTCCACCTTTAAACCTTTCCTTCCCCTTCATCTCCGGCACCACCGGCTCTGCATTTTCCCCTGTCGCAACCACCAACCACGGGGAAACAAGCTCCACTACCTCCTCCTCCTCCCTCTCCGGCGATCTCCGCACTGCCTCCACATGCCACAGAGAATCCTCTTCATTGAACCTTGCTGCTGTGGCTGTACAATGAAAGTTCGGCCGAAGCCCGAAGTGGTCGACATAGGTGAGGAGGTAGGAGATGAAGTCAGACTTGGAAGGGTAAATGGGGAAGTGGGAAGGGAAGTGGAGGTGAGGGAGTTCACAGAACTGTTTGGGAAGGTGGAGGGAGAGGCGGTCGTAGCTATTGTGGCGCCATAGATGAGCTATGCCGTCGGAGCGCTCGATGATGACGGAGGGGATAGAGAGGAGATGAAGAGAAGCGGCGGTGGCGAGACCGGACGGACCAGCACCGACTATGATGGGGCCGGGGATAAAGGTGAGGCTTGTGGATGGGGTGGCGGAGCTGGCTGTCAGGCCACCGTCATCGTCGGCAGCGGTGGTGGTCATGAATGTAGTGAATGTGCGATGATATTGTTAACTCAGGGGAATGAGTGCAGAGAAGCTGTTGCTCTCTATGTCCATGCAAGGAAAAGAGTTAATGGTTGTGTTCATAGCAAAAGGTGTAGAAACGTGGGAAGAGTTTGCATTTATAGGAGAGTGGAATGGATAAAATGATAGTTTTGATATTAGGTAGATACTTTAGTGTCATGCAAAGTCTTTGTTTTTTAGTATAGTAAAGAAGGGTGTGATGTTCAAAATGTCCATTTATTTGATCGGATGAGTTCATGAGTATCATTCAAAATTTGATTTTTTTGGTATTTATGTATTCCTTGGAATTATTATGGAAGATTTACATGCATACCTTACATACATACGGCTCAATTCCTATACATATCATGTTATTTATGCTTGAAAAGTATATTTCACTTTTTAAGAATTAAAATGGTGATATGTTTATGTGATGTGAAAGATTTGAGCTATATAAATATAAAAAGCAAAGTTTAGGTGTTAGATATGAATTGGGTGGTATGTATTTAAATGCCCTATTTATTATTTGACATGAAACAAATAAATAGTTTCTTTAATTGTATCAAGATTCTTTTTTGGCATGATGACAATAATTCACCTTTATTCATTCAGTGCATCACATTGGCAGAAAATTTGAAACTTTTAAAATATATTTGGCTGTCCAATGTTGATTAATATGAAACTTAATCTTGTAGCGCTTCTCATGACTGAAGGCATGAATCTTAAGTGAATTTCACTTCATCTTCGTCCTCAAAATGATTAGAGTCGGTTTGTGAATAGATCATATTATAAATCAATTTGATCCAACACTATAGAAAATACAACAAAAACTTGCGGCAATATTGATAATCAGGAATGTGTAGGTGTTTTAGTATATATAAGCGACGGCTTTTCGATGGCCATGATAACCGATGGCTTTCTTATACAAACTGAATTATGGGTATTTAGCAAATTCATAATCGACGGTCTTGGAATGTTAACCGACAGTTTAACCCATCGACTATCAAAAAATTAAATATTGATAGTTAAGAACCGTTGGAAAGATATCAACAAAACTTAATATATCGAACTAGTGACCTAAATTTCTCATTTTCTCTCCTCCGTGCGTGTTTTTTGCTTTAGAGCCAATCGACGTCCCTTCATTCCCAATTTTGCCAGAGTTCACAATTTCTCGAGTTTTTACACTCAAATCGTACTCGATTTTAGTATTCCTTTTTTTTTTTTAATTTCAATAGTTAGAATTAATATATTTTGAGTTTAAGTACTTTGAAAAAAGTTAAAAAATGTTAGTCGCTTTTCTAAATTTTTGATGATGTATTTCATTGTTACATGCATACGCACCAATATTTTAAAGGAAAATTTGCATGCCCAACATACAATTCTTATGTATTTATGCATTCCACACCTAAAATTTCATATTTGTATGCATGACACTTTGGTTCTTTAAATCAATGCATGAAAAGGTTTATTTCACACAATTCTCATGTATTTATGTATCTCACACTTAAACTTTCATATTTTCACGTAACAATGATATTTTTGATATGATATTAAGGCTTGGAGTATTGCTATGTGTGAAAATATGAAAGTTTAGATTTGAGATATGTAAATACATGATTATTGTAAGTCATGAATGTAAATTCCTCTTTTTAAAGGGAAATTCATATACAAAGTACAAAGTTCCTACATATTTTTGTATCTCAAACCCAAACTTTCAAATTTACACATATGACATTTTGGTGCTTTAAACTTATGCATAAAAATGTGTATTTCACTTTTAAAAAATTGTAATTGAGATATTTTTTATGTGAAATTAAAGTTTAGTTATGTGTGAAAATATGAAAGTTTGGCTTTTAGATGTGTAAATACATAAGAAATGTGTGCTATGAATGTAAATTCTCTTTTTTAAAGAGAAATTCACATGCCTAGCACACAACTCTTACATATTTTTGTTTCTCAAACATCATAAACTTTCAAATTTACATATGTGGTACTTTGGTGACTTAAACTATGAATGAAAATGTGTACTTCGCTTTGAAGGTTCTACCTACGCATTTAAAGTATGCATTTTTAGGGAACTCGTCAACTTTACCTGTTATAATATTCTCGGATTTAACAGAATGTCAAGAAGAAAAATTAATGGAAACATTAAGAAATTATAAGAAAGTCTTTGGATGGACATTGACAAATATTAAAGGTATCAACCCTTCAATCTGCATGCATAGAATTCTGATGGAAGATAATCAAAACCCTAGGGCAGATTCTCAAAGGAGATTGAACTCTATCATGAAAGAAGTTGTTAAAAATAAAATTTTAAAGTAGTTGGATGCTGGAATTATTTATCATATTTATGACAGTGCTTGAACCAGTCCAATCCAATGTTTCCTAAGAAAGGAGAAGTGACTGTAACGCTTAATAAAAGAAATGAACTAATTCCAACAAGAAAATTCACTAGGTAATGAATTCGTGTTGATTATAGAAAACTAATTCTGGCCACTATGAAAGATCACTTTCCTCTACCTTTTATGGACCAAGTTGGATAGGCTAGCTAAGCACTGATATTTTTACTTTTTGGAAGGATAATTAAGATACCACCAAATATTTATTGCGCATGAGGATCAAGAGAAAACAACTTTCACAAGTCCTTACGAAACATTTGCTTTTAGAATGATGCACTTTAGTTTATGTAATATTGCTGCAACTTTTGAAATATGCATGATGTCCATTTTCTGCAATCTAATTGAGAAAGGAATATAATTTCTCATGGACAACTTTTCAGTTTTTGGAACCTCCTTTGATTCATGTTTAGATCATTTAACGAGAGTTCTAAAGTATTGTGAAGAAACAAATTTAGTTCTTAACTAAGAAAAATATCAATTTATGATCGCATGAGGAATTTTTTTAAGACATAAAATTTCTAAAAGTGACATAGAAGCAGATACGACGAAAATATAAGTTATTGTTGAACTACCTCCTCCATTCACAGTGAAAGGGGTTAAGAGTTTTTTAGGATATGTTGGATTTTATAGGAGGTATATTAAAGACTTTTCTAAAATTGTCAAGCCACTATGCCATCTTTTGGAAAAAGATGTGATCTTTAATTTTAATAATGAATGTCTAAATGTCTTCAATTTATTAAAGAAGAAATTGATCACCGCACCTATTATTATTTCCCTCAATTGGGAAAAACCATTTAAATTAATGTGTGATGCGAGTGATTATGCTATTGGGGTTGTCTTAGGGCAAAAATATGATAAAATCTTTAAAGTAATATATTATGTCAATAAAACTCTTAATGAAACTCAAATTAATTATATTAATGTTGAGAATGAATTATTGACAATAATATATGCATTTGATAAATTTTGATCTTATCTTATTAGAACTAAATGTATTGTGCATATTGATCATTCTGCTATAAAATATTTAATATTGAAGAATGATGCAAAACTAAGGTTAATCAGATGGGTCATTCTGATGCAAGAGTTTAACTTTAAGGAAGTGGATAGGAAGGGTGTTTATAATAATATTATCGTGATAATTTATTGAAATAGTTAACTATTTAGTGATCATTTATCGAGACTTGAACAAGAATATGATGGTGATAATAATATTGAAATAAATGAAAATTTTCCTGATGAACAATTATATATGATTGTTGAATGGCGTGTTCCGTGTTATGTTGATATAGTTAACTATTTAGTTAGTAACATTTTACCCTACATACTTGCTAGCCATCAAAACAAACAATTCATACACGATGCAAGATTTTATCTTTTGGATGACCCTTAATTATATAAAAGTTGTAAGGATCAAGTTATCTGAAGATGCATATCATTTGAAGAAACCCAGTATTTTTTTCAAAAATGTCTTGAATCTGATTTTGGGGGATATTTTGGAGTACATAAAAATGCTTTAAAGATGTTACAAACTGAATTTTATTGACTTACGCTATTTAAGGATGTTGGACAGTGTTTTTTGAAAGAATGAAATGCTCCTAAATTTTACTTTGAAAATTTAAATTTTTTTATGTTTGGGGTTTGGATTTTATGGAACAATTTGTACCGCCTTTCGGAAACATGTATATTTTAATAACAGTGGATTATGTTTCTAAGTGGATTGAAGCAGTTGTTTTACCCCGTTGTGATGCTCAAAGTGTTGTTAAATTTTTAAAGAGAATTATTTTTACTAGATTTGGAATACCAAAAGTAATCATTTACATATGAGGGAAGTCATTTTAAAAACATAATGATTGAAAATTAACTAAGAAATATGGAATTAAACATAAAATTGTCATAACATATCATCCCCAAACTAGTGGTTTAGCAAAAGTATCTAATTGGAAAATTAAAAGAATATTAGAGAAGAATATTAATCCTAATCGAAGAGAATGGTTTGATAGACTTAATTATACATTATGTCTATAGGGCTGCATATAAAACTCTTATAGGAATGTCATCATATAGACTCATATTTGGAAAGGTTTGCCACTTACCAGTTGAATTAGAACGTAAAGCTTATTGGGTTATTAAGAAATTTAATTATAATTTGAAAGATGTTAACGAGAAATGATTATTATAGTTAAATGAGCTTGAAAAAATAAAAAATAAATCTTATGATAATGTGATAATTTATAAAGAAAAGATGAGAGTTTGGCATTATCGAAAGATTCAAAGAAAAAATTTTGAGCCTGGACAAGAGATTCTACTATATAATACTAGAATAAAACTATTTATCGAAAAACTTAAGTCCAGGTAGTCAAGGTCATTTATTGTGATAAAAGTCTATCTGTTCGGTACTGTGGATATTAAAGATTAAAAAACTGAACGAATAATTAAAGTAAACGGACATCGATTGAAACCTTACATTTGTGAAAACAAGTTTATATATGATGAGGTCCTGACGTTGGGTAACCCAAAGTAAAACATTGGATATATCATGCTAACGATGTTAAACCAAGTGCTTTGTGGAAGACAACCCATAGTTATTTGTGTGGATTGATCATTGATAATCTATTAGCCATTTATTGTAGAATTGAGAACTTCACAATGTAATGAAGCACCAATTACTTAA